ACAGTTATGGCCAGCGGTGCTTCAACCGCGGTTCCATCTATGATGGAAGAGGCTGCCCTCTCTCCCTTGGAGCGTGAGCGAAGAAAGAGTGCGGCACGATCCGTGGCTGAATTCCATGACACTATGGCTGCCTGCATCAGGCTCGCGCTGGAAGAGAGTTGTCCTTTCGAGAGCTTCGAAGAGGATATCGACTACATCATAGGCTTCTTAATCAAGAGGCTAAAGCATTCTGGGGCGCAGCCTTATTTCCAGCGTAAGGAGGCAGTGAAAGAAGCCATCCAGCAGTTGCTTGCTCTTCGCGCGAAGAGTTCCACTCTTGTGGATCTTGCATCCGGCGAAGTCCGAGCGGTGGTGCAAGAGCGGGATCGCCGTCTGAATGAAACCATGTCACTAGAGGCGAGATTGTCAGAGGAGTTGGAGCAGGCCAAAGCTGAGAATGAACGGATGGTCCTTGAGCGACAGAAGGCTGACAACCGCGTTTCTCGCCTGTCTTCGGAGGTAGAGACTCTGAAGCAGGTCATAGCCAAGGCGCGGGCCTCATTGGCTATTCAAGAGAAGGCTCGTGAGCAGGCGGTCAAAGAGTTGGAGAACATTGAATCTCGCCAGCAGCTGACTGCCAATTCAGTGGAGGAAAAGGAGCGAGCCCATAAGGAAGCCAAAGAGACCGTTCAAGACTTGGCCTCGCGTACGGATGAAGATCTTCGCCGAGAGATTCTAAGGAGGCTTGAACTTCGCCATGCCGAAGAACTTCGTGAGGCGGAGCTGCGGTTAAAATCTCTGTAATTCGCTTTCAATTTTCCGTTTGTAATAGGACTTCCCTTTCACGAATGAAATTATCCCTTTTGTTTCTGGCCTATTGTCATTTGTGTGCGTGTGCCATTTTCGTAACCATGCATTGGTCAGAATCTGGCCGCAAGAGGACCTCAACTGCAGCGGGATTATCATCGATCGATTTGCGCTGTAGGTTTATTTCGATTGCAGGCGAATTCGGCCCGCAGGCGGATTTGCAAATGCTAATGGCGATTCTGACTCTGATCGGGTTACGCTTTTAGCGGGCCACGTGTTAATCCACGTGTACGCCGGTTAAGGAGACGTGGGATAGCCGCCTCGCATTAAATGCGAGGTAGTGGGCCTCTTCGTTCCCCACGTCCGATTTGAGCCGTTCGTTGAAGATCGTGCTCAAGGAACTGCCAGATCTCGTCCGTCCAGATCCGATCCGTTCGGTCTTGCTCTCTAGCTGCTTTAATCCTGAACGGTCTAATCAAGTACTGAGTAACCGCCTAGGACTCTTAGGGTATTTAACACCCTAACTCTTCCTCGAGAGGGCCTATCGTCCTCCTCAGAGTAAACCCAAACTTCTTCTTCCTCACACTCCCAATGGCGCCGAAGGTGAAGAGAGTCGTTTCCAAGAAAAGGAAAGAGCCTGGTTCTTCAGGTGCTGCCGAAGCCGTCGCGGCTGAAGGTATCTTCTTGCTTCGACTTTCGTGTGAGTTTAGTAGGTGTTCCTCCCCCAACTGTTCCCTGTATCGCTTGTTGCGTCTTACAGGTCGAGAGGAGGTGCCGGCTGCCGAGGAGCATGCGGCCGATCCCATTCTGATTTCAGACGACGAATCTGAAGGCCGTGCGAACTCCGCTGCTCCGGATCCCGCTCCCCAGCCGGGAGCCGAACCTTGCCTCGAAATTCCTCCCATCACGGCGCTTGCTCCAGGCCAGAGGTCTATGCACTATATTCGGTCGGTTCGGATCGGTTCGGGTTGAAAATTTTTCAAACCGACCCGAACCATCCTACTCATAAAACCGATTTTTTCGGGTCGGTTCGGATCGGTTCGATCAGTTTTTTCGGTTTGGACCGAACCATGCTCAGCCCTACATGTGTGCGATCGACCGACAAGCGGTTATGAGTCTGTTTTGTTTTCCTGATCTGTTTTGGATTGGGTTTTGATATAAATAGAAACACATGTTTCTAGGGTTTTAGGAGAGCGTTTGAACCAGAGAATTGTGAGTCTTTTGAGCGCTTTGAGAGAGACATATTATGAGGGAGTTAAGAGATTTGGTTAGGGTTATATTTGAGTGATTTTGTGAGTTATACCACATTGTATTTATTGCGAGGGAGTGGGTTCCTCCGATGAAACTCGGGTGGAACCCTCAGGTGCTGAGGCTTTGACCGTCTGAGGTCGGCCTCGGCGCACAGCTCTGTGGCGTTTGCGGGACGCATTGCCACCCGAGGAGGAGGAGGACAAGTATTCTTCGTACTTGGCCTGGTCGAACTCGATTTCGAGGGACTCTACTGTCGTCCCGATAGTAACCTCATCAAACTGAGCCACCACCATTTCACTCGATGAAACAGCTGCTCCCACTGTGGTCGCCATCTTCTGTAGGGTGAAAATTTGATTCTTCCGAAGAAAGGAGTTTCGTTTGTATTTATAAGAAAGCTTATTACAAACTAACAAATCAAATGTTTACAACAGAAGCAGAGGGAAGGCCCTCTTTGTTTTGTGTGGGGACTTTAGGTGGCTATAGGACGCTTCGCTCGATGCTCGGGTCGAGTCTGCTTCCCTTGGACCGTTTGAATGAGGTTGCTGGAGAGCTTCAGTTCACAGTAGAAGCTCGGGGCAATGGAGTTCGGGTCTGCTTGGTTCGTCGGCGATCGGAGCCCGGAACTAGGCAGCAGTGCTGTAATGCAAGGATTTGCTAACAGCTTGGTCTCAACTCTTTTTTCTCCAAGTTTTGCAACCTCTCTTCCATCGTGCTGGAAGGGGCTTTTAAATGAAAGAAGGACAACTCGACTTCTCCTTGAATTGTGGGATGTGACCACATCCTCTTCAGAGACGTCTCGCCGTTCCTCGATACCATGAACGGTCATTCCAGGGATTGTGTTCTATGTCCTGTCACCTACGATGGGAAGGCCCATCTTGTGTGTGAGGCAACGAACGACTGCTATCCGAGTGGATTTGACCAGCATTAATGAACCGCATTTATGAGTTCGCAGATCGATGAAGTGTCTGTCCGATCACTTGTACTGTGCGTGACCGCCCGGCGTGCTTTGAGCACGACGCTTTCTCCTTTCCGGTCAGGAGAGGCGGTGAAGTAGGTGTACAGTACTCGAGTGGGTCTAGCCAGCTTGCCGAGTGCCGGCGGATCCAGCTCTTGGCTCAGACAGCCGAGGTGAGTCGCATTTATGAATGCTCAGGTTGACTCGACGCCTGTCCAGTCCTTCGCGCTGTGGGCACTGTGGGTGGCCGTTTGACGGTCCTGGGGTACTGTGCTCTCTCTCCCTTCGGGTCGAGAGAGATGGGAAGGTCCA